GGACAAGAAGACTGGTGATAACATTTGCTATTTATCCTTTTCTAATTGTTTCCATCATGTTCCATAACAAAATTATGGAACATGAGGAACATTAAAAATGTAGTCTAAAAAGCAATTAACCTGGAGTAGTATTTATGATGAGAAAAATATTTTTCAAAGAGCTGCTTGGAATTAAATAAGGAAAGTCAGCAGAAATTTGTAATAAATGGGTTTGACAATGCTAGATTATTGTAACCAGATTTACTACCATGATACACATTTCTGTATGGTATGAATAAGTAGCTAGATATTTCCAGCTCTCCAAACAGTAATAATTTCTACTGAAATTAAAGTATTTGTTAACTGGCTATGACATTTCTGTGTTTATTTTGCAGCAGACTCAGCTAGTTCACATAAAATAGCTTTTATATTTATTATGATATTTGTGCTAGGGGCAAAGATTCAGTGATTAAAATCTGTACTTGCTTGACAGTTTAAAGTCAACATTTTTATGACAGTTACAAATAAACTGCATGCAAGAAACATGCAGCCATACATGCAACCAGAGTCCTAATTGTTGTGATGCTTCACTGTAACCCACAACAATTTTCTTTTCAAATGTGAAGTTCTCTGTTTTAAGAAATCAATCTTAAAATTTAGCCTGGGTGATTATGAAATAAATAATATTCTTAATATCCTTTCCATCACAAAAATCAGTGGGTGCAGCCTCTTCCATTACATTAGCCATACAGTAATTGTGGTCATGCAGTTTTAATCTCTCATTATTTTCTATGTTTATTTTTAAAGATCAGCTCATTCTCTTGTCTGTTAAATGTTTATGCTGGAAACATTTCATAACATTTTAAGTTCCTCTTACCATTAAATATTCAAAACCAACATCATGATTTCCTTCTTTAAAAAAGAGCAAAGCTCTTTCTGATAGATAGTTCAGGAAGCAATCAAAGTTTCACTGCTAATGCAAAGTTGCATCAAAAATGTAAGAATTTCTGCTCCATCTCTTAATGGAAGGGGGCGAAGAGGGTGTAACCTTTGGAGAGATACAATAATAATCACAACACCTCTGTGTCATGGAACAAATATGGTGCAAAACTATCTTTTCTCTTATTTCCATATACAAGAGCTGATTCATTTTAGTTAGTCAGACTGAAGCTGACTAATAGTGCACCTGTTTTGATGAAAGTGTCATCCAAATTCCTTGCCTTGAACATGTGGCTCAAGACCCTAGTTATGTAGTATGATGAGCAGACAATCCTTAGAGCTGTGGCATACGCTTGTAGCAACTGAGTTGACTAATCCCATTTAACATACCCACAATACATTTTTTGGGGGGGGGGCAAATAATTGTATGTAACTAAGCCCTCCCTGCCTGCAAGTATTCTTCTGTACTAGCTCACATTAACATCTGCCATTTCTTATTCCAAACACCTTAAGTGGTGAACACCGGTTCAATTTTCAGGAACTACCTGTAGGGAGAAAACATATATTTATTCTACACTCTACATATGAACATAGTGATATGTATTTTGCAGAAATGAGAGATCTGATCCTGGTTCCACTTATCCTTAAAAAGCAAGTGCATGTTAGGTTGTCTAATAAAGACAGAAACTTTATTAAAAATTGCAATTAAAAATATAAAAACTAATACAACTAAAAAAATAGCACAGAAAAGAAAAAAGAAGAAGAAAAATATAGTAAAGAAAAAGAAAATATATAAAGAAATCTCCCCTGCATCATAAGTATAAACAATTTTAATAATTTATCATCTTATCAACTTCTCTTAAATATAACAATCTTCTTCCCATATTCCACCTCTTATCTATAAACAATTTCTTAAAGCCGCCTTGTTCAGTCATGATCAGCAAAAGTCCATTTAGGGTCACCAGAGATAACAAATTATTTTAACCTTGATCAAATAAACCAATGACAAAAATAATACACAGCTAACACTATCTCTGCATCCTAAATACATAGGCATAAACTGGTCAATGTATAAAGCTGCTGCAGAATGTAGGTTACTTTGATGCAGTCCTTTCTGTCTTTTAGTCAGGTGTAAAACTATGTACAGAAATCACAGTAGAGTTTGAAGGGGCCAAATTATATAAGCTAGAGAGAACAACCTTGATAATCTTTTTTCTCTGACAACCCCAAATTATTGTAATGCCCCCTTCTGCCTCTTAATCTGGAAAAAGAAAATTTGGGCTATAGAAAATATTGTCAGGTTAGTGCCAAATCCCATTATATTACCTAGAAATGGATATTTGCAATGGTTGACTTCATGAGATAAACCAAAGATATTCATTATTAATATATTGCCATGCCATAGAAATAAAACAGACCTAGAGAAAAAAAATGGGAAGAACTGTAAACCAATGACATCAGCAAAACCATAGCATGATTCTGAAGGCCCTTCTTCAGTTTTCTTCCATCCACTCTAATTACTCATTCAGTTCTATAACTGACACAGAAATCAACTATGTCTAATATTTGGCATATAGCATTCAAGCTAAATTTTAAATGCCTCAATCAATAAGTGCATTATTTGGAAGAACTGCTGGGGACCTGACAGAAGCACAGAACTTTATTACTAATTAAAGTAGCCAACTCTTTATTTCAGACTTGGACATGAACCTGAATAGACATGTTTGCTTTAATTAGTAGCGCTATCCAATAGCTCTGATGATCAACGATGAATTCCACACATAATAAAAAATATATATATTTTGCTGCAGTTTCAGATTGTCCATCATTTATTCCTAACTCAGTACTTTGTAGAATTTCCTAAAGTGCACATTTGATCATTAAGCTGAGCAAGAGGCAGTGAAGTGAGAGGTAAGTCTTCCATAATGATAGTCCTCCTACTTTGGGCAAAGAGACTTTGAGAAACCTATAGCCTATACAGAGAGCAATGTTTCTCAGTGTTAATAACTTTAGGATGTGTGGCTCTCAGTTCCCAAAATTCTCAGAATAGGAGGGTTGCGAAACACTGCTCTAGAGGGAAGGACAATAAAGAGAACACAAAGTGGAGGATTTCAAGACCATCTTCTAGATAATTTGGAAATGAGAACTTGCCCAAATTTGCCCTCATACACTTGCTGCTTTTGAACTGATATAGTCCTACCATTTCTTATTCAACATTGCTCGGAAACATAGGTGTTACTTGATGGAAAACTAGCATCATCAGAACCAATTGCCCATCTATGATAATACATGCTCCACCAGAATTTCATGGGAACAATAAAACAATATATACTCTTGCTAGACAATGGCTGAGGCACTTTCAGTTTATACCAATTTGGCTATAAAATAAAGTAGAGCAAGATCAGTTCTTAAGCATAACTAATTAATTAATCAAATCTGTATATAGTCGCCCATCTCATCAGAAGCGATTCTTGACAGTGCACAACTATGTATTAAAAACACAAGATAAAAAAACCCACAGATGTGAAAAAAACTATATTAAGAAATAAATAGTATAAAAAACAAATACACAAACCCCTAGGCAGAGAGAGAATAAAAAAGGGCCATCTTAACAACGGAGCCATCCAAGCATATCTCAAGCTCCATAGGAGTCCTAGGCCTCATAATATAACCAAATCTTGAGGGCCTTCAGGAATGTCAAAAAGGATGAGGCTAATTAATTTTGAGGGAAGAATGTTCCATAAGGTAGGGCCATGGCAGAGTAGGCATGTCTCCTGGGACTTACATGTGTAGTTTCATTACAGAAGGGATCCACAGCATGCATCTTCTGCCAGATGATGGGACAGGTAGAGGTAATTTTGGAGACAAGGCCCCTCAAGCAACCCAGCCCCATACCATGAGTGGTTTTCAGGCTCAAAACCAGCACCTTGAACTGGACCCAGAAATAATCTGGCAACCAATGCAGCTCATGGAACAGAGATATAACGTATGATCTTCTAGAGGTAATTATAACTTCCTGTGCCATTGCATTTTGTCCCAGCTGAAGCTTCCAGATACTCTTCATGGGCAGCCCCATGTAGAACACATTACAGTAAGAGGTGATTAAGGCATGAGTGACTCAGCAGAGAATTGATCAAACACTTAAAAGTGGCAGTGGAAAATCTGTACCGCCAGACTTGCAAGATTGATGTCAACCCTCCCTGGTAAATCAGACAGGAAGCACAATTAGATGAGCTAATTCTATTTTATTGAAAGGCTATATTAACATCATCCTGCAAGTCTAAAGGTTTATCTTTCCCGCTGCCACCTAAGCAACTGATCAAGTAGGATGGGTTCTTCCTAAGTTTCCTTCTCTGACCATTAAGCCACTGGGGCTCCCCCCTCTCTTGTTTGGTTGTTTCTTAGGCAGTATCTCTTCATCCCCCAGGGCCATCACATAGATTCAAGGAACAGGAACATGAAACTAGAATAAGGCAATGGACCTATAAACTCCCAAGTGCAGCCTGCTCCCTGTCTGCCACCATACATAATGGGCATAGGGAGAAATGGCCTTCCCCATCCCCAAAGGCAAGATCACCCCCCAATCCAGGCTCCCCAGCTTCAGAGGCAGTGGACCTCCCATTGTCCTCTATTCCATTCATCTCAGGGAGTAAAAGCCAGGCACCCCGAGGCACTCTCAGCACCATCAGGATTTTTTTTTTTTAAGAAAGAAAAAAAATGACAGAAACAGAAAAAAATAAAGATAGATGGATCTGAGAAAAAAATAAGCCACACATCTGAAAATCTGCTAGCTTTAAACAATTCTTTTCTGCCTTTTTTCTTCAGTATTTCCTAGGCCAGGTCCAACATACTTATATAAACTTTAAAAAAAACCCCAACCAAGTAATTTGTAGGCCCGGTGAAATTTTAGCTCACCAAATTCTCCTCTGTCTTCAGAATTAAATTGAGGTTACTAAAGCCAACCTTACTCCTCCCACTCAAATTCATCTGTCCACATTAGATGCTGAGGGCAAGAGTTTTAGGTGGGATTGTAAAAGAGGACCTTTCTCACAGATGCAGCCTTGGGGCTGGAAACAACTCACCTGCAATCAAGACAAAGGCTAAAGTGGCAAGTGTCAGGTATGAGCCACTGCTAATCATGTTGATGAGCAGCTTGAACAAAGGGTAGAGTAGCAACAAGGCCCAGAAAAGCCAATTCAGGAGAGGCCATGACCGCCGAGGAAGCACTATGGGGGTCCCTGGATAGCTTCCTGTCCTGTAGTATTCTTCTTGGAAGGTATCCTAGTTGGAACAATAAGGGGAAGAGCTGGTTATCTCCTAAATTCATTGCCGCAAGCAGGAAGTGGGATTTCTCTCCCTATTTCTGGTGCTTCTGTCCCTCTAGGGAGGTACCGCAGAAGAAATAAACCTGATGCTTTTGAACTCATTATTCCTCCACCCACCAAATTGCCATTTCTTCATTTGCAAAATTTACAGATTCAATCAGCTCTTCTCTTTAAGAAAATTAAGCAACCACTTTCTGATTTCAGGAATGGGAAATCTGTAACAACTGAACAGTGAGACCAGGAGCAGGCAATTAATTTTCCCAAGGGGTTACATGGGACTGTTATGGAGGACCATCTCAAGTCTTAATCATCCCAAGAATTGTTAAATAATAAACCCACCTTTTCTTGATAGAGTTTGTAAAGCCAATCAGAACACTCCTGGTCGCCTTCAGGAACCTCCTCTAATGGAATACGTCTAGAAATATTGAAGAAGAGAGCACAGGGTGAAGAGAACAACTAAAAACAAACCATACAATCACCCTGCTTACTTTTATTTATGGTGAAACATAAGCAACAAGATTTTTCTCCAAAGCACCTGAAGGCAAGACAAAGAAACAACGGATGGAAACTAACCAAAGAGAGAAGCAACTTAGAACTAAAGAAAAATTTCCTGACAGTTAGAACAATTAACCAGTGGAACAACCTGTCTCCAGAAGTTGTGAATGCTCCTACACTGGAAGTTTATAAGAAGAGACTGGACAGCCATTTGTCTGAAATGATATAGGGCAGGAGTGTCAAACTCGCAACGTCACGTGACATATTGCGACGTACCTCGACTTTTTTTTCTTTGTCGGTAATGGGTTAGCCGCAGTTTCGGCATGATGCATCCGTGGGCCGGCAGTTTGACACCCCTGGTATAGGGTTTCCTGCCTGAGCAGGGGGTTGGACTAGATGACCTCCAAGGTCCCTTCCAACTTTATTATTATTATTATTATTATTATTATTATTATTATTATTATTATTATTATTATTATTATTATTCATTGCACAGTCAGCTAGATGTTCAGACTGGAATTATTATTATTATTGTTGTTGTTGTTGTTGTTGAAAAAATAGAAGTTATTAGAGTTTCAATATAAAGCTTTTTTTTTTTTTGCCTTCCATTCAATCATATCCAATTTTTGGAGAATGCCTGGTTTTCTTGGCAAGGATTTTCAGAAGTGGCTTGCCATTGCCTTTTTCCTAGGCCTGAGAGGACTAGAACTCATAGTCTCCCAGTTTCTAGCTTGATGCCTTTGGTGCATCAGTACACCAAACTGGCTCTCCTAATATAAAGATATTATAATAATAAGCTCTATTCATGTAAAAATAGGTAGAGCTCAATTCAAAATGCCTTAGACTAGAGCAGTGTTTCTCAACCTTGACCATTTTAAGGCATGTGGACTTCAACTCCCGGAATTCCACAGCCAGCAATGCTGGCTGTGGAATTCTGGGAGTTGAAGTCTACATGCCTTAAAATGGTCAAGGTTGAGAAACACTGGACTAGAGGCAGTTTCATCACAGCTCCTTTTGGGTTACTATTACACTATACCATGCTGGCTCAGGAATTCTGGGAGTTGAAGTCCACGAGTCATGAAAGAGCCAAGGTTGCCTACCCTGCACTATACCCTTTACACATGTTAAGAAAGGGGAAAGGTACTTGCCTTACATGTAAATCTGCATGGTATTTCTTCCCATGTAAAATTCCCAGCAGAGTTGGATTTTCGTTATTTCTGAAGTTCAGTGTAGAATCATATACAGCTGAAACTGTACAATAGGACACATTAAAGCAGGGTGATGGCTGTCAGAGGTTTCAAAACACATCATGAACTTGTGAACACGATATAAGCTCAGTTTATCAAAATGAAGAGCTTTGGCAGTTAAGAGGAAAAATAAAAATAAAAATAATAAATACAAACAAGGCTTAAAAAAAGACTGTGAAAGCATGGCCATATTTTGTTGTGTTCCAAGAAGATACAGCAGAAGTTCAAAGTCTAATCCAGCCATAAAAAGGCAACTTTAGTTTTTTTAATAGACTGGTTCAGATGTCAACCCAACCATCCCTGGTGCACATTATGGGAGTCTACTTCAGCTGAAGAAGGTTCTCAAACTGAGCTTTTGAATTCTAGTGGGTCCCAAACTTGCTAACTACAGCTTGTTGAATGAACAAAGCAGAAAATTGTAATTATTAAGAGGCACTGACATAGCTTGTTTTCTCCTGCTGCAAAGGAGGGAATTAAGAACTTGGGAGCTACAGTATATGTGGCTAAATCCTACACCTCAATTAATCAAGATATGTCTGCCTAAACATGATTAGTGAGACTTGAAGAAAGACTTAAAGGAAGAGAACACTGTTTAGATATCATCATCCACCAACAGGGCTATTTTTCAGAACACGGCAATCAAAGAGTTGATGTCAGCTTGCTTCATTGCCAGATGCCAGTTTAACTAAAACATACATCTGATTACAAACATTTAAAATGGTGTCTTAGATGCGTTGGGTATGTCATTCCTTACCTACATTTCTCAAACATTGAGCAGTGATTGTAAATCCTTTGGTTCGCGGGAGGAGGTGATATTTGAGCTTTGGCAAGCCTTTAGCTTCAGCCACTTGCATGCTGATTTCATGTTTTTGCTCGGTAAACCTCGTGCCTTCACAGTGAATCAAGAACTGAAGAGAAGAAGAAGAAAAGGAAACTGAAGAGATATATTGGGGTGAGGGGCGAGAGGAAGAAGTACATTTCTTTATGGAATACTGCATGCCAATGGATGGGGCACAGAGGAAAGCAAAAGATCACTTCTATACATTAATCTATACATTAATTGTAGCACTGTGATAAATCTCAAATACACATCTTTTTCTTCAGACCTAAATATAATGACCCAGAATTCAGGAAGAGTAATCTGCAAAGTCCTTCATGTTTTACTACAGATTATAGCTAATAAGGCCTTTTTTTTTTGCAAGAACAATTAACATGCAGTTTTAGCATCACAATGTTCTTTTTTGAGTACCAGTAGCTGCTTTCTCTCTTGTCCAAAGAACACAGCCATTTCCTGTTTGAATAGTTCCTGTTTGAACTATTTTAAAAACACAAAGACTATATTGCTATGAGCACTATTTTGAGCACAAGTAGTTGGAACGGGGTAAAGTTATGCATTAAGGAGCATTTCACCATAAGTATTTATCAATTCTTATTTAGACTCTCCTATATGATTCAGCAGCAATCACAGAACGCAGCACCGTATCAGAAATAGCAGACATGTTCCCTGAAAGATGGTTTAAAGCAATATTGGTTGCATTCTGAAGGTCAAGCTATATATTACATTTGGAGGGGAAATAAGAGTCGCCTTATCGGTGAGATGGGCAGCATATAAATGTATCAATACATAAATAAAAATGGGGTCTCCTCATTGGAATCATGGTGGCTCTGTAACATTCAACTTTCATTGGATACCAATGCAGCAAGGGCTGAATTAGATGCATAAAATGTGTAGAGCAAAAATGAGCAATTAATTTTCCCAATGGATCACATTATAAACTGGCACTGTTGTGGAAGGCTGAACCAAAAGGGCTATGAAGGGGTGTAGATATGCAAGGGATGTAGCTATATAGCAGTCGTCTTCAAAATAAAAGCAATTCATGAGGGCTGGACAGGGACAGCCAAAGGGCTGGATGTGGCTTGGGGGCCATATAATGCCCAGATCTGGTGTATAGGGTTTCTTTTTTAAAGCAGCAAATGGCATCAACTGGGGAGGGGGAGGGAGGGAGGGAAGAGAATGGAAAATATTTTTTTAAAAATAATTTACTTGATGAAGGAAAATGTAGCAACTATCATAGAAAATGAAACTCTATTCTCTAAAGCACACAAGTTCCTAGGTCAGTGATGGTGAACCTTTTAGGGACCCAGTGCCCAAACTGCAACCCAAAACCCACTTATTTATCACCGGGTGCTGGGTGTCCGTGGCCACGGTGGTCATGATAAACTTGGTGGGTGGGGCCAGGGTGGCAGGGGCCAGTCCCTTGCAATCTCCGGGGCACGGCACGCGTGCCCACAGAGAGGGCTCTGAGTGCCGCCTCTGGCACGCGTGCCATAGGTTCGCCAGCACTGTCCTAGGTAGACCTGAACAGATCCTCAATGGATCTTTTAATGTGTAAAAGCCAAATGCAGGTCTAATAGCAAATGCAGGTTTAATAACAGACTGCATCCAGTCCATATTGGACTCTAGATTAGACCAGCAGTCAATCTTTTCAAAACTGGATCCGTTTTAAGATGCAAATTCTGACAAATGGCTGCACTTATCAGTGTAGCTATTTACTATAATGACTGCAAAACACAGCAGCCTGTGTTTTAGTGGATGGGTTCTTGCAGACTTGTGATTCTCAGAAAAGGTTAGGACAGATAAGTCAAATAGTCCTATCAGTATTCTATACTGTCCAATACAGCAAATGTCCCAACGCTGATTTTTCTCTAATGATCAGAGGTAATCTGCAATCAGAATAGAGCTGGAAGAGACCTTGGAGGTCTTCTAGTCCAACCTTCTGCTCAAGCAGGAGATCCTATACCCTTTCAGATAGGTGGCTGTCCAGTCTTTTCTTACGGTAAAAACCTCCAGTAAAAATCTACAACTTCTGAAGGCAAGCTGTTCCACTGGGTAATTGTTCTCACTGTCAGGAAATTTCTCCTTATTTCTAGGTTGCTTCTCTCCTTGACTAGTTTCCATCCATTGTTTCTTGTCCTCCCTTTGGAAAATAAGTTGACTCCCTCTTCTTTGTGGCATTCCCTCCAATACTGGACTACTGCTATCATGCCACTCCTAGTCCTTTTAATATATATATGCATGCATTTAGACTCACTTTTTAATTGTTCTTGTATAGGTAGTCCTTGACCTATGACCATAATTGAGCCCAAACTTTATATTGCTAAATGAGAAATTTGTTAAGTGAGTTTTGGTCCATTTTATGATTTTTCTTGCCACATTTGTTAAGTGAATCTCTGCAGTTGTTAAATTAGTAATACTGTCGTTAAGTGAATCTGGATTTCCCATTGAAAAGGGGGGAAAGGTTTGTCAAAAGGTCAGAAAAGGTGATCCCATGACCCCAGGACACAGCAACCGTTAATAAATATGAACTGGTCATCAAGTATCTGAATGTAAATTACATGACCATGGGAATGCTGCCATGGTCATAAGTGTGAAAAATGGTCATGTCACTTTTTTCAGTGACATTGTAACTTTGGGTTTTTTTTAAATACAGTAAATATTTTATTAATGTTCTAATGTGTTGTCTGGGTCCATTAATAATTCAGTGGTATATATTAACTTCTTCAATCTAGATTCTAGATCCAATATTGCACCGTCAAATGTTTCCTCTCTTCTTCCAGTAGTGCCTGTTTTCCCACACTAGGCAAATACAATTCTTATTGTTATTAGTAAATATACAATTGAATATCAACATCTTTGTTACATTTTTCTCATAATATCGATAATATCAGTTTTAGATTACTTTTCTAACCAAAACATATCTTAATTGCATTTGCTCTTAATATCCATATGTTCAATCAGTATCCTGTTTTTGCTTTTTTTTTTAAATTTTAATTTCCCATCAGTGTTCCAAAATGACATTGTAACCTTGAATGGCCACTAAAATGAACTGTTGTAAGTCGAGGACTACCTTCATTTGTACAGTAGCATTGGCTGACTGGACAGGGAAACATTTACCTTTACCTTTAATGGCCATTTTATAATCCATTTTAAATCAAATTGTAATTCCAGCCAAACATCTGAAGAGTAGGCAATACAGGTAGTCTTCCACTTAAAACAGTTCATTTAGTGACTGTTCAAAGTTACAATGACACTGGAAAAAAAGTGACTTATAACCATTCTTCACACTTGCAGGATCCCATGGTCACGTGATCAGATGCTTGGTAACCGACTCATATTATGACAGTTGCGGTATCCCGGGGTCATAAGATCATCTTTTGAGACTTTCTGAGGAGAAAAGTCAAGGGAGAAGCCAGATTCACTTAACAGCTGTGTTACTAATTTAACAACTGCGGTGTTTCACTTAGCAATGGTGGCAAACAACATCGTAAAATGGAGCAAGACTCCATTTTAACAACTGTCTCGTTTAGCAGCAGAAATTTTGGGCTCCATTGTGGTCGTAAGTAGAAGACTACCAGTAAGTGGTTTTCAAGCAACTATCTAAATGTCTACTCCATTCACGGGAGAAAGAAAACCCCTTTCACCTAACAAATAGTATAAGAATGCAGCCATATAAACTTTTACAAAATACACAAGCTGCCCTGAATTTAACAGGTTTTTGAATAGATATGTCGAGTCATGCACAATAAAACCTACACGGCTCAATTTCATTTCGAAAGAGCAGTACTGAAATAACATAAAACCAATCTTCCAGAAAGTCAATAGAAATAAATCCATGAGCCCAAAATAGAAATAAATCATGAGCCCCATAACAAAATGGATCTAGATGTATTGTTTTGAATGATTTGCAGGTTTTTGCCTTTTTCCCCCCCATATGCCTATGAGTTCCTAATAGTCAGACCCAATTTACTCCCTTCTCATTTTTCAGTGAACGAATAAGTAATTTTCCCACTTATGACTCCACCTGCACTCTGTCTTAATGGAAAAATGAAACTGAAATGACTATCTTATCTCCCCTTTTTTATTTGTAACACCAAATCTGTATTCAGTTTCAGTTTCAGAGAGTATTTTAGCCTCACACCTGCCAGGCCTTCTAAAAATGCAATTGGGATGTGGGTGCTACTTGACAGTAATGTTTCATACCCAGAAGTATTCAGGATAATCTCGGAGATTAAACAAGCTATGCATGACAGTTTTCCGATCCTCCTCCCATTTTCGCTTGCAGAACACCATCTCTAGGAAGTACCACATCCAGCCGATGATCGGCATGTAGGAAAGTTCTTTCTTGGCAAGGACTTTGGAACTCTATAAAACAAACAGAAAAGAGGCTGAGACAGAAATCCAAATTATTTGGATAGATATTGGTACAATAGGGCGAGAAGATGGAAGCGCTGCCACTTAATGAAGTACAATTGGCTCCCAACGGCCTTGGAAAGAAACATATAAGTATATATGCTACTTTAGAGCATATAAGTATATATGCTGCTTATAAGTAGCCTAGTAGCATATGCCTTTTTCAGGACAGCAAAATCTACTGGGTGATCAATGAAAATTCCAGATCCTGAGTTATTTCTTTACACGGTGACCAGACTGAAAGGGTTTTTTTCCCTTGCTTGTCTGGTGTTAGGGGTATCATAAAGAAAACTAGAATCAAATCAGGAGGAGCAAGGAATAAAAAGCATTAACATATACTCAGTAATGTTTATTTCTTCTGTCTTTTCATCAGCTTTTAAGAATGAGCTGCAAACACTTTAACAACAAATAATCAACCAATTTAAGACCCCCACTGTTTTAGTACATGTTCTGGCACAAATGTGCTTTATCACCTTCTGAATTTTCATGTTTCATTGCATAGTTACTATTCCCTGTTTATGAAACAATATTCCTGAATTTAATTATTGTTACTCAAAGCAAATTCACTCTCAATTGAACTTTTACACAGTCTGTTTGATAAGGAAAAATACTGCCCCTTCATGAAGAAGTAAGGGGGGAAAACTATTTTATTTTATATAACTATTTTATAAACGTATAAAATATAAACATATCACGTTATATACATTATGAATGAATTTAAAAAAGCTTAACTTGAACATAATGAACATAATTATCTCCAAATAAAAGGATGGAAACTTTTAAAAAAAGAGATTGACTTGAGCTTCAGTAGGGTCAAGACTACGTTTGAAAAAAAAATTGTACTAGAGAACCGTGTGCAAAATTTGAAAACTTCTCTGCATCAACACCAGCACTAAAGGTAATCAGCTTCCCTGACTGATGTTAAAAACAAGTTTAAGGTAGGCTGAAGTTATCAGGACAATTAGGCATTATCCTTGCAGCAGCTTGCATCATGCTGATTGAAGATCTTTTATTCAGCAGCAGAATACCATGTCAACATTGTACCAACTGCTGTTCAATAGAAAAACAGTGTCTTTATTGTAGCACTCAAATTGTCATTCAAAGTACTCTTTGTTCAATTTTCATTCTGGGTATTTGGTTACTACTTCGTTATTAGAACGCTTTACTGATCTGTCAAATGGAAATCAAAACTAAGGACAAACACAATTTTACAGCTAGGGAAAAATAAACACTTTCTTACCTAATGAAAGTGATCATCTTAATTGTATTATGACAACCTTTGTAATGCATTTTAACCTTATACCTTGCAGAAATACTCTTAATATAGCCTAACAACATGTTTTGCCAAGTGTCAGGGCAGTGATCAGTGCCCAAGCAATTGGTTCTGTTGGATCCAGAGAATATAAGCACTCTAGTAAATGAAGAGATTTTAAGCTTTATTATTAACCCAAGGAAACATTTAAAAGCATAACATAAAAGCATATACACCGAGCAAGATGATACCCAACAATGCCCTAACAATACTTAAACAATAGTACTAAAGTTTTTATTAAAAAAACTGGCACCATGACTTCATGGCCCTGCGTCTTGGTTCACGGTTATAGGATTGTGAGACCTGACCTTGACCAGGTAGCACATATTCAAAAGTCTGAGATTTTCACAGATAAGGGAAACTTTACTGCTATGTGAATGTCCCCCCCTTCTTCTTTACTCAGCAAATAAGAATAAAACAAACCAGCATGTTAGATCAGAATTAGCTCCAAACTTCTAGACTTTTCTTAATATGAAGAAGGAATCAAAATATGTCACTAAACTCCTTGAAATATCAATGGTCTTCCTCATTGCCACTATGCAATATCAATTGTTTGATTCAACGTTTTGAATCACAAGGATCAGTCAAATATAAAGGATGAAACCCATTCTGCAAAACACATAATGTAACATGAGAAAAATGATCACGCTACACAATTCAATATTCAATATATAGAACGTCACTTTGGGCCACTTGTTATAGAGTACACTGACTTCTTTCCTGCTTGGAGTACAAAATGCAAGTAACAAGAGAAAAATGCACATCTGCCTTTCTTGGAAAAGGAGTCGATAATTGAAAAGTAAATTAAGCTAAATGTAAATACAGAGATCTCGACAGACGATGCACGCACTCATGATGAAAAACCATCATAAACAGGAGAGAATCTTACACCTCACATATTTTCCTTAACTCTGATCACATTAATTCAAGCAGATCTGTTTGTCAAATTTGAGACAAAGCTCCAGAGAATATATATAATTTTATTTACATAGCAGAATAATCCTGCTTCAAATTAGCCCTAACTATTAGTATACTGAAGGAGTCCAGTGATGAAAAAGAAAAGGAATCTAAATTCTGCCTCTTGAAAAGAAAATCAGAGACACAAGTTGTGGATGCTTATTTCAAAATTAATGACAGATAGGAGAAGTAATAGGACTTTGTTCCTTTAGCCTTTGGCTGTTTATGCATTCAAGGGCACTGAATGTCCCTGCTGATGCATCACCTGGATTCTAGTTATTGTCACAATTGGTTGTCTTGACAAGTGCCAAATCTGCCCAACTTCCCTGAAAGTGACACATACGGGTTTTGACACTATCTCTGATGTTATGAATGCTGGTACCCTTTAATACTTCACTCACAGTTCAAAGCAGTCCTTTTCAAAACATTTCTTTTGTTGGGTCAACGCTTTTCTAATGCTAAGGGCAACACTTCTGCTTTTATTTCTCAAGCTTAAAAAGCAGGAGAAAATTGATAAATACTTTATCACCGGTTATACAACAAAAAGATCGTTCTGTCCTTCAATGCTAGTATTTCAGGATGGTTCACAGCTGCAAATTAAAACTGAACAATAAATTCAGGTTGAAACAAAGTATTAAAAATACGAGAAGGAAAAGGAGGAGACTAAGCACAAAATCCTGATTTATAATTCTGGGTATTTTCATTGGACCATCAAGCTCAGTCCTCTGCCTAGTGTGTGAATTCAAGTTAAATCAAATTAAAGATGTCTGTCTGTCCACTGCCTGGGAGGTGGCCATCTCTCTGGATAAGTGGTTTCACTTATGAACTGTTCTAACTTTTAAGGAATGTTTTTTCTAATATTCAATCAGAATCGGTGACTTTGGAATTTATGCCCATTATTCCCTTATCTGTGTTCTGCAATGAGCAAGAACAGATTTTAACCATGGGATATCCTTCCAAGTACTTGAACAATGCTATCATGCCTTTCATTAAGTCATCTTTTCTCTAAGCCAGTGGTTCTCAACCTTTTTAATGCCGCGACCCCCAACCGGTCGTAAGTCGAGGACTAAACCGGTCGTAAGTTGAGGACTAAACCAGTCGTAAGTCGAGGACTAAACTGGTCATAAGTCGAGGACTACCCAACCGGTCGTAAGTCGAGGACTTTCCCTGCCCGGGAGCGCCGCGCATGCGTGGTTCCGCCCCCTGGGCCAGCCGAGGCGTAGCTGGCAAGCGGCAGAGACGGAGCAGGCTGACCACCAGCTGGCCCAGCCCAAGGGAGGTAAGGCACCTGCCGGAAAAGGGGAATAAAATGGCGGACAGCCTTGCTTGGCGACCCCCGTGAAATGGTCGATCGACCGCTGCTCTAAGCTAAACATACCCAGCTCCCCTTCTTAGGGGAGGTTTCCTTTTCACAGGTCTTAGTTTTTAAGTATCCTGGTTGCTTTTTTGAAGTTGTTATATTTTGGTCTGAATATTTAAATTGTGATCCCCAAAATGGAAACAGTACTCAAGAGGGTCTTTGACCAATGAAGAATGTGAGTTAACAATTATTTCTCATAGTTTGGATAATTTACTTTGGTTGATGCAACCTAAAGTTTCATTGGTCTTTTTTGACTGCATAGTGGGCTCATTCTCAAGTTGCAATTGCTTGCTATTCCAGCAGATTTTTCAGAAATACAATTGCCATGGTACGTATCTCCCATTCTACACTCCATCTTATTTTTATTTCTGTTAATTCAGCCTATTTCTTGAAACTATTGTGGATTCTTAATTTTGTTTCTGTTTTCTATGGTAACAGCCAATTTTCTGTCATCTACATTTAATATTCCTTACACCTCCATCAAAATAGTAATAAGAAAGGAATAACAGCAGAGAACCAAGGAGATGAACATTGTGGCACTCCTCTTAATACCTTTTTCCAATTTGATGAGGAGCCACTGATGGATTATTTTTGAGCCAGCAATTTGTCCATTTAATCCTCATGTTATGTAATCTATTTTATAATCATCAATTAATCAAGACATATATTAAGGAAGTTGTCTAATTAAAATACATGCTCAATTTAGCAAGATTGTCTGTGGCTTTCTGTATCCTCCCGTATTCCAGTTTTGAAGATAGGGACATTTGCCCTCCTCTACCATTTGGCACTTCGCCATTTCTCAGAAGATAATGCATATCAATATAGCTAGCCCAGCAGCAAGTTCCTCCATTATCCTAAAATGCAATTATTACTGCTTTAAGATACAGTGCAATTCCTTGTACTGTTCTACTGCTTTTGTTCCTTTGGAGGGGAAAAAAATTACGTTCTTCAATTGCTGCATTCAAGCAAGGAAGTAATTCTGCTATTATTCCTGTATTACCTCTTCAATCAACCTCCTCCCATTTTTATACTCCATCTTCTTTACTTTTGAGCCTTCTTTTAATTATGAGCCCATGGATTAGGAAGCCACATTTGAGCAACATTTCCATTTTGCAAAGTGTGAACAAGTCTTTATCTAAGCACTTTCCTTCGGGGTCTTTGTTTGTAGCCTCTATAGCGTAAGTCACTCTTAACTGTCTTTGGCCAAACACATATTTGGCCAAATATGTTCTTATTATTCCTTGTGAGGACAACACATTTCATGCTAACTCATCATCTTCTACATAACTGAGAATTCATGGTTCCAGATACCATGATAGGTTTTATAAATTGTTCTCTCATAGTCCAGATCTGGTGGGCAGCACACATAATGAGCTGAAAGAGTGGTTGGTAGGCATTTGTTTAAGATCCTAGTGGTAAACAGCCCCCAACTACCACAGCTCTTCCTTTAGTCCTGCAGAACATAGTTGTACCCAGGGCTTTTCTTCTCATAGAACGCCCAGAACGGAGTTCCAGCACCTTTTTTGGATGGAACCTTATAGGGTTCCATCCTATAGGGTAGGCAAGGCGGCTTATATGACGTGTGTGAGTGCCAGCACCTTTTTTTTTTTTTTTAAGAAAAAAAGCACTGATTGTACCTCTGCTTTTAGGGATCCACTGTTCTGGATCTGCAGTATTTCTCTTCTAAATGCCCAGAGCCTGTTTCACTGCAATAACCTGAAAACTGTTTCTGGGATACAGCAAATGCAGAGTATTAATAAGGGAGAATATTGACACGAGGGGTCTTTGGTGCTCTCTAAGCTTGCTTGTTTTCTTGCAGACATTTCATTACCCAAACTAGGGTAACTAGTGCTAGTAAGGAGTGCTAATGATGTTGCCTAGTTTGGGTCTGCAAGAAAACAAGCAAGCTCAGAGAGCACTAAGGACCCCTCAAATGCAGAGTATGTTCAATATCACTTGTTTCTGTCTGGGTTTGCTCTTTGGTTTGATTATCTTCTGAACAAATGTTTTTCCCACTGCAAGTCTTCTGTTAAAGAGTCTTTAATTGAAGCAATAAATCACTGTCTTTTCTCACTGAAGGGTGACAATTCCCTACTCTATTATGACATTTTCCTTCAAGGGAATGCTATAAGCTTCCCTTGGCTGCAAAACATGTCATCTTATTTTCATGCAGCCAGACAATGCCTCAAACATTGTGACCCACAACTACAGATTCCTTTCATATTCATTTTGCTTTTTAGGACAGCAAAAATGTATTTTTTCTTGTGCCATTAGCCAAATACAGACTCCTGACACAGAGGGAAAATTTATTATAGAATGCACCATTGAAAATACAGTGCCTAACAAAATCCCTACTCATATAATGAGCTGATAAATAATAAACTATAATATCATTTTCAAGTCACTCTGTAGCATGTAATAACAAATTCTTTGTCTGCATTTCGTTAACACTTTGCCTACATTTTCATTGGTTAAAACATCAAAGATTTGGTTGATACACAAATCAACCCCAAAATATAAAGCACAGTTTACAAGGTACATCTTATGAGATCAGACCTCACAATAAGTCAAAAACAAACTAGATTATTAATTAACCTGATCAGCAAGATGCCTTTTATAAATTTAATGTGGGCAACTTACTCTAAATTATGCCTTTTCTTTATATTTTTCAATTCAGGTCCCAACCGTTTTTGAATTATAGTAGTTATTTTTTTAAAACAACTTAAAGGAATTCACAACTGGAATTTCATGGTTGCTTCATAATCTGCTGCCTTAAGTGCATAATGTAATATGAACAAAAACAGGATCATTCTTAGTTTTGATGTCCTGGTTTCCATTCTGAAAACACATTATTATTCTCCTCCCTTAAAACACATGAGAATACACTACATTTTTTAAAAAAAAAGCTGAGATCCCCTTGCTATAGAAAATTAGAAATATAATAGAAGTGGAAAGATAGATAACCCCAATCAATAGTAGCAGTATTCCAACCACCTGGTAATGCTGTGGTTAGAATATAGTATTGCAGGCTAACTCTGCCTACAATCTGGAATTCAATTCTGACGGGCTCAAGGTTGACTCAGCCTTCCATCCTTCCGAGGTCGGTAAAATGAGGACCCAGATTGTTGGGGGCACTATTTCTAACTCTATAAACCGCCAAAGAGTTCTGAAAAGCACTATGGAACAGTATATAAGTCTAAGTGCTATTGCTAATAGTAGTAGTAGTACTAGTAGTAGTACTAGTAGTATAGTAGTAGTTGTAATTATTAAGATTTATTATGGCCATCTATACCAAAGACTATGGGTGGCCATCTATACCAAAGACTATGGGTGGCTTACAATTTCAAATATACAATGAAAGTTATAAACTAATTTTCTGGTCTGTGTTCTCTCTAATTTTATTTCATTTTTTAAATCAACTTCTCACAACAGCACAACTTAAATAAATGTTAAATAAAATGTTATGGTAAACACACCCAAATCTTTCTCCCTTGAAAGAAAGGAATGCAAATGTCTTAACTTTTTACTGTGAAAAGTGGGAAATGGACATAATATTATTTCTGTCAGTTGCATTCTCTAGCACATTTGGAATTAATATTTTAGAAAAACCAGTAAGATTTTTTTCCTTAATAGCAACATGAAATATGACCACTATCATATACTTTGTTTGATTGATTATTGACATATGAGCCTAGAACATGAGGAAGAATCTTCATGGCAATTATATAAGAGAAGGCCATTTAATATATTTATTTGCAACTTCTACTTCAGCAAAATCCTAAATGATGTATTATTTAAAGTAGTACCGGTAGTAGGCTTAGTCGCTATATTTGACCTATTATTTGCCATTTTAAGCTTTAATTGGTAAAGAGTCACAGAGGTGTTTCCCAAACAATACCAGTCTTCAAATTGCTCCAGGCAATATTAAATATTTAGGAGTTATTATTACTACAATTGATATCTATTAGTCAAAAATAGTATAATCACCTTCAGCACAGATTTAGAGCAAAACCTAAGCCTAGGCAGCACTTTATCACTTGATAGAAAATTTGCAATTAAAATAATTCTACTGGAAATTTTACACTGAAGACAGTTTTGAAATTCAAACCTTAACCAAGAAAGCATCCAATGGAAGTAGACTTTAGCTAAGTGCCTGACCAACCCTAATTGTTCAACAGATTGAACAAATCATGGGCTGTACAGATCTACTAGATACTATAATGGTTTCTTTATCCTCCAAATTGATTCAGCATTTTAAAGCCAACAGAAGGAAAAAAAATGGAAATATTGAAGGAAATGAAGGAAACATTGAAGGAAATGCCAAATTGGTTATGAAAGCAGTTGCGTTGCATCACATTGGAGGGAAAAAAGAATCTGTTAACATGTTAATAAAAACTCACCCCCAGAACACCAAATTTTTCACAATAGCTCCAACCACAGACAAAGTCAATTTCAAAGTTGTGATTAAGGATGACGATGGCATTCTCATTCCCAATCTTGTGCATTGATTGTTGATCTATAGAGATGGTACAAGTTGTGCCTGACCACCATTCCAGTAACATCACCAACTCTGAAACAAACAATAACAAATGATTACATAACCATAGTACCTATGGCTTAAATAAACAGTTGCTTTGCTACTGAAAGGAGGCAAGAAGTGTGCCATTTCAATATTCCTTCTGTTGTGCCTATGGCTACCCAAAGTTGGGCAGGGGAAAAACATGGTCCTTTTTTTATATTGGGAGGCTTAAAAAGCAAATTGGGTGCTTTATACATAGCAGGCACCTCTGCAAGAGAAACTTTTATACTGGCCTTCTCCAACCTGGCGCCCTATACATGTGTTGATTGTCCACATCGCCTAATGTCTGAGAAGGCTAATAAAAGTTGCAGCTCCAACACATCTAGAGTCCACCAAGTGTTAAAATGTACATCATGCTCCTACCTCCTATTTTGCCAATTCCTAGTTCGTACAATCAGTTTATTCATTCTCATTACCCACAATAATTAATTGACCCTACAAATCACTCTACTCATTCAAATATTTTTCCTTCTGATTAAGTTGAACAGAAGAGAACAGATGAACATTCATTCTGTATCCTATCCATTTTCGCTTGGCTACCTTAATTTGTAAAATATTAAATGGTATCAATAGAACTCTTACTTTGTATTTATACATTTATTTATGCATTTTATGAAAGAGTCAAACATATGTTTGAATTTTTGAAAGCAGAGGACAGAATAATAGCTCCCTATTTTGTGAAAAATAATAATGAGTTGCCACATAGACATTTAAAAAGCTGTCCCGAAGCAGATGGTTAGTATTTGTCTAGATTTCAGTCCATACACAAACACACACACACATACAGTATATAACAAATTTAATGATATGTCTCTCTTCTTCTTCAGCCTCTTTTTAATATTAAGAATAAAGAATGTTTTATTCTGGGGAGGGGGGCTTCCTACAGTTGATATGCTACATAATAGTTAATAAGATTTTATCTTTTAAGCCATCTTATCTTTTTTACATTATCATGCCTCTGTTAGCTGGATGCAGATATATACTTGGCATCAGATAAGGTTGATGGAATTCAGGAGGGGTTGGACTCAGAGCACTTGTGGGAATGCAAAGACTCTAAACTAATGACAAGCGTAACACCTTCCCCCAGTTCTGCCTACTCTTCTCCTACATTCTGCAAGTTGAAGTCCACACATCTTAAAGTTGCCAAGTTTGAAAAACTCTGCTGTAATAGAATGTTCTCTAAGAGCAACTCATTAACTGAAGCAGTTGCTATTGCTCTTAAACTTGCGTATCCATTTAACCTTTATACTCGTTGAAACCTCTCTGGTGCATTGACGCTTCATTTTCTTCCACTTTGGAATTCAAACTGGCTCAGCTTTTAGCTTCTGGACTGACCTACTGGCCATTTTTCTGTGACTCCTTTTAGAGCTCAGGCTAAGTATGCTTTTATCCTTCCCAATGCCTAATCCCACTCAGAACAGAGGAAAAGTGAGAACTGAGTATGTTATCAATGTTGCAAATTATATTCATTATATTACCATCAAAAATTTCTAAGTTACAGTGTATTCAATGTGACATTCAATTTTTATTAATTTATTCTGTTCAGGAAAATTCACCCAGTATGAGAAAAATATTTTCAAAAATGAGATTTGATAGATATAGATAGATAAATATAGACAGACAGACAGGCGATAAATGGGGGAGGCGAGAAGGGATTCATCTAGCCAAGGTCTAAATTATACCAGAGCATTAGCATTTTTCTAAGCAAAATTACTTTATGCTACAAATATTTCTAATTTGGTGTTTTGTTTTTAAGCATCCAATGAGAGTTTAATAATCAATTTGGCATTCTATCTAAAACAAAATTAACAAAACAAATATTGCAGCATGCAGTATTTCTATTCAACGTGGGTTTTTTCCAGGGTTTTTCCCAAGTTAGTCAACGTTCTGTACTTTCCTTCCCACTTTGGCTTTCCTTCCTTAAGCATTTTTGTATGATGACATCATGCCTTAGGCATGAAAGCCATCTGGTGACTTTAGGCCAGTCACAATCTCTCAGCCCTACCCACATTACAGGGATACTGAAGTATTAGACATGTTTGCCGCCTTACTTATAAAAATAATAAAGGCAGGATATCAATAAATAAATGTTGAGGTTCCCCAGTACCTCTGTTTTGTGTGCATGTATACCATTAATGGTATAAAAAGTAAGAGCCTGAATCTTGGAAAAATAACAGAAGCTGTTTTGTATCTAGGAATTCAAATGCTGATGGTCTGAATTTTGTATCATAAACACCACTTGGTCATTTTAATTGGAGGGTAATATATAGCAGTTCTCCTTGGATTCTTGAGTATCAATACTCTCTTTCAATCTTGGGAGGACAAATGCAGAAAAGAGCCATCAATGTCCATCTCAATTTCTTTCTCAACCTTGAAAAGCAAGGGGGAAAGAAAAAACTTTCCATTTGCTCCTGCAAAGCGTTCAGTGGAATATCAAGGGTATTACCACTATTGCTTTTTTCCTGGGCTACCTCTAGCAGACCACTAGATTTCTTGGAGACTCCTATCTCACAGCCTTCCAGAGTAAAAGGAAGGAATTTTATATCAACTTCTTTGTGGATCAATAAGCTCTATCCTTGCTACAAAGATGTGATGAATAAATTAAAGGAATCAAATGTTATTCACATTTTGCAAAAGGACATCCCTGCAAAAGGGGTGGTGGTGGATTTTACTATTTATTTTCTAGGCATCACAGACACAACACTATTTGTTCAGCTTGGGATGGTTCTGTGCCATATCCAAGCAAAAAGTTCACACAGAAGAATATCCTAATTTGAATGACCCCTTTCTGTTATACAACACGGCCAATCCGAGTGCAGTTTACATTCTTCTGTGGTGTGTTACATTTTGGTATTGCTTGAACTTGCCACACCACCAATGATCTTTCCCTTTCCTTAGCAAGTAGGTTTGGCTCTGTCTTATTTGAACCCAGCTAACGGGGAATAGGGGGGAAGCGCGATAGCTCAGCCATTAAAGAAGCTGAGCTTGTCACTAGAAAGCTGATAGTTCAAGACCCAAGCGTTGAGCAATGGGGAAAGCTCCTGTAACTTGCCCTAGCATCTGCCCACCTAGCAGTTTCAAAGCATGCAAAGATGAGTAGATAAATAGGTACCACTTTGGTAGGACGGTAACACCATTCTGAGCATCTTAGTGTATAGCAGGGGTGTCAAACTCAATTTCATTGAGGGCCGCATCAGCACTGCGGTTGCCCTCAGGGGGGGCGGGGGTGTGTGGCCAAGGTGCGTGCGGCCTACTGGTGGGCGTGGATGGAGTGGGTGTGGCCTACTGGGTAGGCATGGCCAGCTCTACATCATTCGCGTCAAGGGTGCCTGTGGTGGCCTGGGCAGGAGTGGGACAGATCTGAGGGTCTCTGGCAGAAGGGGGTGGGACCGGGGTAAGCGCCAAGGCATGGTCCATTTCTTCATTCCTCACAAAGGGTGACACCTCCCCAGCATGCACCCAGGAGGCGGGGCTGACACGGCAGGGGCTGGTTCCTCCGTTTCTAGACGGCCTTGTGGAGCTAACACTGAATGCGTTTCAGCATAGATGGCCACTACAAAATTGTACATGGCTCCCGGATGGCCTGGGCCAGGGCCAAGGCAGCGGGGGCCGTTCCCTCACTGTTTCCAGGATGGCTTCGCGGGCCACATGAAACCACTTTGCGGGCCACATCTGGCCCCTGGGCCTTGTGTTTGATATGTCTGGTGTATAGTCATGACTATGGAAACATCTTCAGACAACATTGGCTCCCCTGTCTAAGAAACAGAGATGAGCATCACCTCCTAGAGTCAGACATGACTGATCAGGGGAAACCTTTACCTTTACCAGGGAACATGCAATCATACTTTATGTATCTTACGCAGAATTGGGGGTTTTAAAAAAAGAAAATCTATACATTTCTGAGAAATGAACTTGTTTGAAGTGGAAAAAGAACTGACAATCAAAAGCAGAATAACTTTGTTTCAATTTGGAGGCTTTCAAATTACTTTAAAACTATTTGCAGCATCAGAGCCTCTTTCCCCAAAACATATTCCAAGCAACAATACAACTTAAAATGTTGCTTGACTACATGGATGCGCATCTCCATAATTTTACAAGTTATGTAAAACGTGCACAGTTCATGGGGGTGGTAGATTATATGTAACCTGATTAGCTACAAGCTAAAATATCCAGCCATTACTTTCAACGGTGAGGTTCTTTATAGTAAAAGACAGTGAAATTGATGTGTGCCACAATGTTCTTGCCAATCAACAATAAATTTTTAAGAGACTGCTACAACAGAACAAAAGGAGCTCTAAATTTCTCTCATAAATCAAGTAATAGGGGAACAGGAAATTAAATTGTATTAGCAATGCACAGGGGCTTGTATAACCATTGCTTCCTTATTTATTTATTTATTTATTTATTTATTTAAATTTACTGATTCTATTCACTCTATTGATTACCAATAAAAGGCAAATAAATGAAAGGAGCGGATAAAAAAAAGAATTCAATTAGTCAGTGAAACATAAGATTAGTAGGTTCAGATTACTCAGTAATCTTAGAGCCATATTAATTACAAATCTGTTGGGATCATGTCTACTGACAATTGTTTATTACCTTCACTATTCTCCAGGTATAGAGCTTCCCACAAACAGTATCTATTGAAGTGGGCAGCAATAACAAATTTAAGTAAATAAATTACAATAAAAGTGTCACATTATAGTTTAAAAAAATACAACTGGGAATACCCTTGTCTTCTTTTTTAAATATACTTAGTTACTTGAATCATCACCTCAATGTATCTCCAGATTACTTGAAGATAATTTTGCATGGAGACCATGGCTCTTAGAAATTATTATACAAAACACTAAATGCAAATAATCTAACAAAATATTCCCAAGGAAAATTTACTTGGCCTAATTATCTAATGTACAGGGATAATCAATGAAAACACTATTGCTTCTAGTCCTCTCAGTTCTTGACAGGAATTTTGTAAAGTTATTCAAGTACTCAAGTATAAGCACTAAGATACCTTAGTTCCTGGAAGAGGAATTAAAATCTTGCTGGAACTAAAGAAAAGGTGGTATTTTTCATCCTGGAACAAATTTGGTCCAAATGCCATCACATGAATATATGTTCCCCAATTCAGTCTAACCTCTTTTTAAGGAGAAAATTCCCTTAATACTTTTGCTATTTTTGGTTCTCAATCAACGATCAATGAGCCTGGTCATAATTTATGGCAATCTTTTGCTTTGTTTCACTGCACTAGCAGACTGAGATTGGCAAAATTTAGTTGTGTTGGGCAGCTCAGAACACCTGTCGTAAACCAAGTTGGTCTACTCTGGACTAGAACATTTATTAAAGTATAAATTCATCTACTGACCATCCTTTGTAAACCTCAACAATTAAGAAAAAGGTTTTCAATGAAGATGGGAATGCTACCACTCAGCAAAATCAAGTTGGCACAAAAAATGCTTAGATACCCTGAATGTGGTTTAAAAGACTGATAGGGACATCAAAACAGATTGTCATCATCCGACAGTAAGTAAATGCTGTTCTGCTCTTGTGCACCTTGTTCTCACAAGTTTTGCCTGACACAAAGAAGTTTTAAATGGTTGTCTGCTCTGAAAGATAAATGTCCCCACAACATTGGAGCTCTTCCACAGCTGAACCAATTCCAGTTGGATACAGAAGAGAATAACATGAATACAACAAGGGCAATGCTGGGTCTGTGAAGGGGGCAATTTTTTGACAGCGAGAACTTTCCTCCCATTCCTCCTCATCTCCCAACATTGCCTCCCACTCCTTCCTCATCTCCTTTCTCTTAAGTCAAGGCAGCTATGGTGTTTTGCTACCATTTTATTTTTATTTGAATAGAAAAACAGCACTGAAGCTCTACACAGGGAGTGATTCCACAAAAACAAATAGGGGGAAGGGAAGCACTGTCTGGATGCTTCGTCCACTGGTCAGTTAGTATCAGCACTGCTCAGCTCATAGAGAGTACTAGAAAGTTGCAAAAACAGAATCAGTGAAGCCACTCACAGGTCTTCTGAACTTGGATGATTATGCGATGGTGTACTTAGTTGGTGGCTATGTGACTGTATGCTTAGACTCTAGTATTGCAACCACACAACTCTTTGTACTATTATTGCATTCAGAAACTTTACAAAATGACTGAGAAAAGTCAAGATAATTTATTACAGCATCTTTCCTAAACATTTATACTCCTGCAACAAAGCAAAGTACCTGCTTGTTATCAAAATAAAACTTTGAAAACTATATATGAATTTAATCCCAAACTCTTAGCTAGGTAGCTCACATGCTTCTCATACACAATTAAATACCAATATTTGGTTCTCTATCAATATGCAAGGTTACAAATTCTGGTTTGTTTTAGAGCAAGTCTAGACAGAATGATTCCCTACTATATATAAATCATTATATTTGCAATAATGCAGAATTTTTCCAGAAACCTGGATTATTATGTTCAAAACAATCTATATAAATGAGAGAAGATTAGAAATTCAGTTGTAAAATGCTTCTTAAAATATAAACTGATAGCAGAACTCTATGTATATTTAATCAGAATTAAATCTCAGTGAGTTCATCTTCTTCCAGGATAGCAAACATGTAGGATTATAGCTTAAGTATTCTTGATTCAGATACATTTTATACCAGTTAATTTGAAATGGTTCTAAAGTATTTTAATCAAATAAAAATGACTCATTTTCTTTAAAAATGATTTATTCTGATATTTGTTAGGGGAGGAAGGATTTATGATTCTTGTCCTAATTTCTGTACTTTTAAAAAAAAAAACCACAAAAACCAAAATCCCTGAAGCACAGCAAAAATGGTTCACTATTCTCTCCGGGGACAGAGTTAGCATAAAATCTATCTCCTCTAGCAATCTCTCTTCATAAGTGATTTCTCTTATTTATTAACAAAGTCTTTATTAATAAGTATACATCCCTAGGGAGGCTCACCAGACTCATTTGCTGACTTGAGAAGCGAAGCAGAATAATAAGTTCATATAAAAGGATGGATTTAAGGAAAAGCATATTGCCATAATGCTCACAGCCACTTCTTTGAGTTTCAGTTGAGTCCTGGTTTTGGGGAGTGGCAGAAGATAAGATGATATGACAAGTAGAAACCTGTGGTTGGCCATTTTTCTTTTTTGATGAGAATACTAATCAACCTTTGTCAATATGCTTGCTTTCCAGAAAAGGTGGTTTCCAAAACAGCCAAATATTGTTTCTAACAAATCTGATGGCACTATCTTAAGAAGGCTGGTTAGTGCAAACATTTCAGAATGACATTTGTAACCTTTTTGGATGAGACATTAGCTATTCTTGAACTGGCTTTTGACATTTCATACTAAACAATCACAATTCTTTCTTGAGGTTTATTACCGATACTTTGCAGCCCTACTTTTAGAGTTCACGTTTGCAATATGGACAAGATCGACAAAGAATGAGTACTGTGTGTTCAAGTATGTTATATGGTTTGGCTTCTATATTAAAGACAATTAATAAACTTGGTATTTTATTCTTATAGAGACTGGAGTTGGATCAGGAATGGTAAAGTTCATTAAGGCGGTCAAAATGAACAGCAATGTGAGGAGAGGGGTTTCTGAGCCATCTTATGTCTAAATTCAGACAAGAGAGGTGTCAGAAATAAAAGAAGTTACAATTAAGACAGAGGGTGACTGAGGACCTTCTTCTATTCATTGGCAAAATCTGCATACTGCTGTTGATCCATCTGAGAAAAAAGACATTCAAAAGCTTCACTTTTACATCATGGAAGTTAACCATCACACAGGTAATCCTCGACTTACAGCTACAATTAGGAGTAGTATGGATACTGCAGAACTTTTCTGAGAAAGTGTTTTTCATGTATTTTTTTAAAAAAAATACTTATTTCAGTAAAACATCTTTTTTTTCCACATTTAAAACCTGTCTGCCCTAAATAACACTCTTTGTTAAAACAAAGGCAAGAATATAAAAACATCTTACGGCTTGATAGAGAATATGACAGCCTGCAGTTGATTTTTCTGAAAAGCTGCTTGTTGAATGGCCAGAGAAGTAGCGTGAAGAGTTGAATGAAGTTGATTATCAGTCCTGACACTATAAATACGTAACTGATAATAAGATGACAAATAAATTGAGACTTCATAAATCCAATGATGTCCATGGTTTAAGGTAGCAAGGCAAATCCTCCAGAAAAGGAGAGAACAGGGCTCAAATTCAGAAAGATAACTGTGGAAAGACAAGAGAACTTAATATTAGAAATAATCCGCATGGAGTCTCTGTTTTGCATTCGCTATCTTTTTACTTTAAATTGTCCTCCCGAAATTCACTATTAGTTCTAACTTAAAGCAGTTTAAAGAAATGTATGAAAACACGTACCCTGAAACAAACACCTGTGCGTAAAGACAATATGAAGAAGGAATATACAACATGGGAAAAACAGGAATATACTGTACCTGCTTGCTCAAACTCTCCTCCTTTCAACAGAATTAGGCATTTCAGTTTAAAAATATGACATTTGTTAACAGTTCAAAAAAAGAAGTGTCTTATTCACAGCAGTAATAAGTACAGGGCCTGTAAAAGCTTGGAAAGTGTGATTTGATAAAAAAAAAAAAAACTTTCAGAAAGTGCTTCTTTGCTGCCAAGATCATATAAAACATGCTAAAGTGCAGTGTTACTTGGAAAATTATAGGTCACTTTTGACAGATTAAAAAAAAATAGACAAATTGTTTAAAGTTTACTGACTTCAGATTCTAAAAATTCTAGTTCAGATATTTCTAAATGCTTCTGTTACTCTTTCCAAGCAATAAAGAAGAAATATTTTGTATTCCTTTTCCACTTTCACTCAAGGAATTTTTCAAGAATGTACATTTGCTATTTGAGCAAAGCATCAGATCCCATTATTGCTATTATCTACACTTCACCTCTATTTCAAGGTCAGTTATTATTCATGGTGTGCTGTTTTCTCATCCTTTCCTCTCCTCACACATCTAGGAAAAGGAATTGTATTCCTGAGAGATCTCACCAGAAAATAATAAATTGGATGGATGGTTTTGAAAAACTATTGCTATATGTACAAATCAATAGAAAAACTTGTGATTGATTCTAGTTGTTGTTACCATCTAGTCAACCCTTAGTGATTGCAGAAGCAAGACTGTGCAGGTTTTCTTGGCAACATTTTCAAAAATGGCTTACCAATACCTTATTCCTAAAGTTAAGAGAGAATTGGCAAAGTCCCCCAAATGACTTTCAAGCCTAAAGAACAGTCTCCCAGCTTCTAATCCAGTGCTTTTGATGATTATTGAAAATTGCACTCTTGTGAATGCTGTGCCTGTCTATCTGTGAGTCCAGCAATAGCATTCAAACCACAAACACATCTCAAGGGTGTTTTACAAATGCCTTCCCTTAGTCGCATAAATTCAAGTCTACATGACTTTGATACCTATAGAAATTGAATAAATAAATACCATGCCAGAAAATAATCACACATTTAAAAGAAAACTGAATTGTCTGAAATCTAAGTAGTTATTTTAAAGTAATATATTAGTTAATAGTGGCTCCATCCTAATTCAAAACTATCAGAGAAACTGCTCTTCCAAAACAGTTCAAGTTTACTTTCTCAGGCGCCACTAGAATTCTTTGAAATTATGAAACAGGTTTGTTTTCTAAAGCAAACACAGTATTTGTCCAAATTATGAGGCTGCATGCTAGGGATTAGGGAGGAATCTGGTGAACCTATCTTTAAGTGACTGACATTTTGCTAACGTACTAAAAAGAAATACAGAATAGTAAAAAGGGATATACTATAAACGAAATTAACTACTGAGATTGGAATACTATTTATTCCTTTACTATATTCAGCATTTAGTATTGGATATGTTCTATGGACAGACTGCCTCAGATTATTTTCAAGCAATTATTATTTGCAGAAATCAGCCTTCCCGTTTATTTAGTCTTATTAGTTAAGAGAAGGAATAAAGATGCAAACTGTTCAGGAATGGCAAACAAGAGAAGCATTTGGCATAAGTTTCTCAATAACTTTTTGTAAAAAATAGCTGGGCATCCAATTAGCGATCACCATCTTTTTACTTCTTTATGCTTTATTTCAGCTTTGTTAACAATTTTCATTGCTGAACCAAACTCTTCTAGAACCAATATAATGAATATGTTCTCTTCCCATATTGTGTATATACTAATATGTTACAATGTATCTGATACGTATTATTTTTCACATAATATTGACATCTTAGATATCCTAAGAATAAATCAGGGTAGGGATGCTCCAGACCCCTTTCCTGAAATCTTGCCACCTAGTGAGACCTCAAAAGTGTGTCTTTTCTATGGCTGCCCCTACATTGTGTAGTATCCTCCCTCCGCCCCGCCCCCCCAATTTGGCAAGCCCCCACCCTCATTAAGACCTGGCTTTTTACCAAGGATAAGATTGTATAGATGGAAGTATGGAATGAGAACAAATGGAGCTTGCTGAAGAGTATCCCAAGGGGCCGATTAAGGTACAGGGTTTTTGTTTTTATCGTTTATTGGTTTACTGTTTTTATGACTGTTTTATAGCCATTGGTTTTATTGATGCTGTGAGTAGCCCAGAATTGCTTAAGATGGGCAGCCATATAGAGCCTTTAAATAAATAAATACATTTTTAGAAAACCTAGTTGCTAAAATGATGAGAATATCATTATTATTATTTTTTACATTACCAGGGATGCTGTAGGGAGGACTTCTGGTAAGTATGAAGTCAAGCGTTTCCCAAAATAGGAAGGTATCAAGTCAAGTCAAGTATTTGTGGAAATCCAATTTAAGGGTTGTTGTAAATAGTTGGGCAGGAATTGGCAGAGATTTAAAGTTATAAGCAAGCAATAGGAACAAAAATGCCAAAAGCCATTTAATCATCATCTGCACGTTAAAGAGTCTGAAGCAGAAGATAGTTTGAAAAAGAAAGACAACAGAGACCAGGCACTGCACTGTTCCTATTCATTTTCTTCTACTGACCATACTAGTAAGACAACACAAAGAAAAATAGTTTTATCATTCATTGCTAATGTTTTAGGGTTTGAATGCTTCTTGTGCTTGGATGCCATAAATCAGATTTGGAATGATGGGAGAACAAACTCTGGGTAAAACTCATATATTTTACTTGTTTATTCAACAGCATGACAGGAAAAAAAATAAAAATCAGATCTGGTAAAAACATAATGCACAAACATTATCCTAAGTGACATGGTACTGCATGTGAATCAAATTGAATATAAAATTAAGCCAGCCAAGCAATTATTTTAAATACTCCCAATTTTTATCACAGGAATATAGCTCATAGTTCATTCTACAGCAAGGTACGTGATCTTTCTGTTAGACATATGCATAGGTTTTTCTTTTAGAAGAAGAGTGGGTATGCTTTCTGATAGCAGAGTAGGTTGAAAATATAATTGCACCATTCAGAATAAATTACCAGCAGAAATATTACATGTCCCACACAAATGAACAATAAAGTTGTGGAACAGTAGTAAATACATACTATATTTAAAAAGCTTAATTTGGCAGATCAGGAAGTAAAACTTTCCAAAGGAATTGCCTGTTGCAACAAAAACAAAGAGCTTTAAAAACTGACATATAGCAAAAGCTTCCATAGACTGTAAAACTATCAGAATGATAATTAAGGGTATGGAAGATTACAATACAACCAATTTAAGAAAGCTTGACAATACATATTTGCTGTGCTCAAACAACAAAGGATAAAAGAAAATGAAATGAAAAAAGCACAATATGCCCAAATGTTTATTGTCAAGTTTTCTTATAATGGTTCCATGCTAAAGGCATTATTGATACAGCACTCCTGAGGTATTTGCTTCCTATTTGGGGGAGGGGGGATGTACAGGTAATCCTCAAATTATAACCATAACTGGGCCTAGCATTTATGCTTATAATCTCATGACAGTTGTAAATCAGGACATCATGTGACTGGGCCCAAATTTTGTGAGTTTTGTGGCAGTCATTAAATCTGTGACCTTTTTTTGTGGCACTTATCGTTCACTATGGAGCGGCTTTTGCTGGAAACTGGAACTCAATACCAATTTCCAGCAAACCATTGCAAAATGTGAAGATATGACTACAGGGGTCTGCAAATGGCCATAAATACAGGCTGGTTACTGAGCGCCCAAAATGTGAGAACTCCATAACCGGATTGTAAGTAGCTTCAGTCATAATTTTGAACAGTTGCTAAGCCACCAATCGTAAGTCAAGGACTGCCTGTATTTAGTTATCAGTCTGTACCATTAGGTGCAAATGATTGGAGCTTACTCTTTCCTATATCACTAAAGTGTACACATAGGACTGCATGATGTTCCTTAAATAAGCAGGATTTATAACATGACCTGTCTGTACTTACAGCACATTTATTTTTTACTTCAACTCAAAAGTTCACCATTACAAGCTATAAAACTGCAGGCTCAGTTATTTAAATTGTAGCAGCTGAATCACCAAAAATGAAATGACGTTCATTTATCCTGTCTACAGTGCTGGTCACACCAAAAGCCAAACCTCATAAGTAATAAGAAGTATTTGCGATGTCATTCTGTGACAGCTAACGTGGAATTTATAAGGAAGACAAGGCTACATACTGTGTTTCCCCGAAAATAAGACCAAATCTTATATTGATTTTTGCTCCAAAAGACGCACTAGGGCTTATTTTTCGGCTAGGGCTTATTCGGGGAAACACGGTAATAAATGTGTCCGTCTGGCTGATGATCTTAACTGGGGCTTATTTTTGGGGTGGGGTTTATATTAAGAACATCCTGAAAAATCGTGCTAGGGCTTATTTTCCGGTTGGATCTTATTTTTGGGGAAACACAGTAGTATGTGGTGCCAATCCCATGATATGTCAACTAGCATGCACTAAAATACTCCAAATTAACAAAAAATATGGTCTATACTCCAAATTAACCAAAAATATGGTATATCCTGCCATGCTGCAGGTAAAATAGATCTCCTTCGGGCAAAGGAGGCTAAAATGGAAACAGAAATTGGGCATCTGTATGATGTAGAGAGTTTTTTTAAAAGCATTGTAACTGGAACAGATAGAGTATAATTTGGAATCTGAGAAAAGAAATGAAGAAACAGTCAGTAGATTGTTCCATCTCTTTGGATGCGTACATGAAGTTTATAAATGCACTTTCGCCCTCTGATGTTAATATCAGTCTGCATTGAATGTTAAAGAAACTGTACATATAATATTATAGACTTTCTCCACATTGGTTAAGCACAGTAAAACTTATCAATAAACTACTAAGAATTAGTTATCACTGTAGCATTGTTCAGTCATTAACACAGGATTGGCTGTTTTTAAGCACAAAGTACAAAAGAGATTCCTTTACACATATTTGTACCAGAAAAGAAAGCATTTCTATACTGTATGCTAGGTTAGAGAGTATTTCATAGTTTTTCTACTAATATGTTCTTTCCTAATTTTTTTACTATTATTTTTTTTTCAACTGGAATCTTCCCACCTCTCAAACTACAAACTTGCCTCCATCTTTGACACGTTCTCAAGAGCCACAGTATCATCCTCTATGCCACGGGTGTCAAACTCGCTGTGTCATGTGATGTGTCGCGATGAATCGCAACTTTTTTCACATTGCCGGAACTATGGTGGCCACGGCCTCCGCATGATGCAACTGGCCTGCGGGCCAGCAGTTTGACACCCCTAGTCTATGTCAAAAGCTTTTCTTCTGCTTATAAGTGAATGTTACATTTATCATCTCATTTCTTAGCTATCGCTAATTACTTATTCACCACCAGAACACAAACAATGAAAGTCAAAGGCTGAAATCTGATAGGAGAAGGAAAGATGACAAAGTAAAGAGAAGCCATAAGTCAACATTCAAATTCAATATTTCTTATTGGAAAGGAGGAGGAGGGGATAATGTCCTTCAAGTATGATTCATTCCTAGATGACAATACAGAATGGTGGTCCATGTTATTTTCTTGGAAACAATTCTACTTTTGGAATATTTGACTTTACAGCTTAGATTTAGAGGCTTGGGTTTCCCAATAGTCTTTCATTTGAATACTAATCAGACCTGCACTTCAGTTATTTCCAGATCAGCAGCAGACAAACATTTTCAGAAGCTACCCTCATGCAATTAAGTCACTCATAGGTCAGGGTGTTCTGGAGGGTATTCTGGTGCTTGAGGGCCACAGAAACAGTTATTTCAGAGTGGCTTCCATCCATTGTTAAAAAAAAAAAAAGCAATAACTGAGCTTCTCAATCCTAAAAGGCATCTTAAGACATTTGAGTCCTAAACTAAAAGCATCTAAAAGCTTCTCAAATTATATAATTGAACTTTAGGCTTTATGCATATTGGTCATAGGAGTTAACCATACATAGGATAAGAATATCAATATCCCATTAGTTTAGTAACTTATTGGAATATAAATTTGGCTCGAAGGAGATAAGGAAATGAGTCCTCAAGTTAAGGAATTAGAAGTGAAAGTGAAGTGAAATGAACCTTCAGGTTCATAGGCTTTAATCCTTGTATGTATACAAAAGTCTTTCAGCAAGAATTACCTTAGCAAGAATATAATTTACAGGGGGGGGGAGAGACAGAGAGGGGGGTGAGGGAAATTCTGGGAATTTTAAGTCCCTACATTTCAAGAGTATCTGGTTTAAGGAAAGTTGCTCAAACATTTCAGATTTGTAGTGAACCAAGTATACACATCCAGTTCAAACACAGTCGCTCAGTTCAGCAGAAGACTCAATCACAAATAAAATAAGATGTATTTTATGTTTAACTAACCACTGGTGCATGGGAATAGTACATCTCAATAGCGTGTTATTAAAATATCTAGTTGTCAGTGGGATATGAAGCACACCAGAGTAGCTTAGTGATATTATAAAACCTTGTGAAAGTAAAGCCTATTGAGAAATCTACTTTTATTATCTGTTTAGTTTCTACTTTGTTTTTCTGTACAATACATTCAAAATAATTACACTACATTGCATTCATATTTCAATGCTATGCAACATGTATTACATTCAGCTGTATGTTAGGTTTACTTGTGCACTTCTTGTTAGGTTTACATTAGAATCTGGAATGTCCAATCTACACAAACCACCTAGGTAACTGATTCTGAAAAAGCTCTCCAAGAATACACTTTGCACACTGATGCACAATATGCTGCCAAGCATAGTATGAACCCAGTAATTGTTTTCCTTCATCTGTACTCCAATGCAAGTAGCCGTTTGCATCTTTCCTGCCTGCTTGGGGGAGTTAAGTGCTTCTGATCATAAAGCATTATCCAAAGCTGAGGAACAAACACAGCTTTTCATACAGATGCCTTCTTCAATCGGAAGGGGCAGGTTCTGCCTGCAAGCAGAACATACTTAAAAAGAGCCTTTAGAAGCCGGCACAGCTCTTCCATCGGTTGATTTCTCCTTGTAAAACTAAATGTTCTGCACACCCGTATAGCCAAATGTTCCAGCTGCAACAGATGTGGTAGAGCTAACAGATGTGGTATTTCATCCAAGCACCTGCCAGCAGCCTTAAGGTAAGATGCAAGAGACATAAACACTTTTATTAAGGCACAACTTCTGATAGTTAAGTAGCAAGGGTCACCACCCCCTTTTGTTTTTAAACACCTTCGCTAAGGCCTGCCTGCATTTAATTAGCAACTGCTAATTAATTTAGGCAACATCCGTGCCCTCCTCGGAAAGTGAAAGCATATTCAGGAGAGCATCTGCAAATAGAGTGCCACAAACGTCTGTTTCCTAGGCAACCCCTTCCCTCCCCCACCTTCCCCTTAGTGCTTGGGGACAGACCAGAAGGGGACGCGAAAGAAAGCAACGCGCGCCCGCTGGAAGCCTTGCACAAATATATGCATCCGAATGCCCCACGGGCCTTCCTATTAGATTTCATACGAAAATCTCGACGGCGATCCTTATTATTATTATTATTTTCGGCGGTTTCTATGGAAACGGTGACGGGGGAGAAATCTGTTGCACGACCACCACGCCAAAAAAATAAATAAAAGAGAAGCAGCAGGTACCCCGGGCACTTTTCGTCCGCTTCGACTCCCTTTCCTCCAAAAGAGAGATTTTGCAAACCGGAATCGAAGGGCTTCTTTTTTTTGGGGGGGGGGGGGAGGAAACCCGCAAATCACGGCCACGTCCTTCCCCCCCGACCCCAAATCAAGGCTGCCGGTCGAGGCCCTCCTCCCAACCTCATTTTTTCTCTCCCCCCCCCACCTCCCCGCCCTTCCGTCCACTCTCCAAAAACTAGATACTTCCGTACTTTTTTACAAAGGCATCCCAAGCCCAGGCAAGAGGGGTGAAGGTGGTGGTGGAGGAAAGCCCCCAAACGAACACTAGGCGTGCAAAGGGGAAAGTTTCCCTGCAACTCACAGCAAGAAAATCCACGCGTGCCTCGGGCTCCCCCGCCGCTGACATAGATGCTCCGAAGAAGCCTCGCAGCCCGCCAATCGCCGCTTCTTAGCTTGAGCCTGGAATCAACCAACGGGGGGCGGGAGGGGAGGGGAGGAGAAGAGGAGAAGGGAAAGCGAGACTCCACCCACGGGGCGGCTCCTTCAAAATAAATTTTAATAATATATATATATATATATATATATATATATATATATATATATATATATATAACAATTTTAAAAAGAAATGGCCAATTAATATTTTGTTTTAATTACATTTTAAATTTAGTATTGATTGTATTATGTATTGTTTTAAATGGCTGTAAGCCGCCCTGAGTCCATTGGGAGAAGGGCGGGGTAGAAATTTAAATAATAAATAAATAAATAAATAAATAAATATATATATATACACCGGACACACTCACACACATATATATAAAATGAAAAACTCAGCTGACCTCTCACTCTCTTCTCCCCCCCCCCACCGCCACGTGTCACTTCCTTCGAAATCTGCCCGGGGGGGGAAGGTGGGGAGGAAGAAAGAAAGAGAGGTCTATGACTCGACACTCGTCCAGCGACACCCAATTGTTGAAGAAGAAGACGACGCCCTCACCTCTTCCCCCCCCCACTCCCTCCGCCTTTGCTTTCCCCGAAACCGATGGCCGAACAAAACCTCTGGGTAGAGCAGCGTCCCCCCCACCACCATTCCCCGTCGTTCCCGCTTTTTCTCTGGGCGAAAAGAGCTGAAGACAAGGCTTCCCTCTCTCTGTCCCCCCCCCCCCAAAAAAAAAAACCCTCGGGCTTTTTCCAAGCTGACGCTGTGGTCAAGACGGGAAACACGTGTTCCCCATTAGGGTTAATGAACAAGAACCCCGAGCGTGACTGGCGAAGGGAGCGCTTCGGCTTTATTATCAGAGATTACTAGGGTATGCTGTTTCCATCCCGGTTGTAAATTGAACGGAAGCTCATAGAGGTTAAGCTGGCTGTTTTGGCGATTTTTTTAAAAAAAATTATGTTTATTTTTTTTGCCGCGTTTGTCCAAGCTGGCAGGAGCCTAAGTCTAGCTGGGAATGAATGAACTTGTGGCTCACGCTCAAGTAAGAGGGAGGATCGGTTGGACTAGAAGAGCCTCAAGTTGGAAAATCCCTTCCAGCGCTGTTATTTTGTATCGCCTTAAGAACAAGGTCTGCGCCGATTTTCATCCTTTTAAAAGTCGAGAAGATGTGTGCTTCTAGGTAGTACTGGCTGCAGACGTTTGAAAGAGGGGTGGGTGGGTGGATCAGCAGCAAGAGACAAAGTCTAATGGTAAAAGAAGATGAAAATGAATGGTGATCTGCCCACGTTAAATGCTCTGTTTTGGGACTTCCCTGGTAGACTCGATCTAGTCAGTATAGCTCAGTGTTTCTCAACCTTGACAATTTTAAGGCATGTGGACTTCAACTCCCAGAATTCCACAGCCAGCATTGCTGGCTGTGGAATTCTGGGAGTTGAAGTCCACATGCCTTAAAATTGTCAAGGTTGAGAAACACTGGTATAGCTTTTCATGGCTTAATCTCTTCTCTTGAAGTGAGGGCTGCTGTTCCTTGTCAGGGTTTCTCTTGGTCTTCAAACCCCTAATATTTGCACATTCTGCCCAGGACAGGGAGGATTCCAGTTCTGGATAGGAGAGTGACCTTTGCTGCTCCAGAGAATAGTGGGTTAAAAATATCAGGAAGCAGGTTCAGACTAGAGGTCAGGAGAAACTTCCTGGACATGTAAGTATGAGTCTACAGTACAGACTGTCATGAAGTAGTCATTTCTCCTTTGCTAGAGGTCTTCAAACAAAGGACGGATGATCATCTGTCAGAGATGCTTGAATGATCCCTGCACAGAGCAGGGGGATAGATAATCTGTAAGATCTATCCCAATTTTATAATTCACTTACTGATCTATATTGTCATCCATGGGCACATTGCATACTGTGGTTCCTAAAGTGTAGCATGCAGGAGAATCTTTGGATGAAAACTGTTACTCTAGTCCAGTGGTGGTGAACCTATGGCACGCGTGCCAGAAGTGGCACTTAGAGCCCTCTCTGTGGGCACACGTGCTATCACCCCAACCCCGCCTTCCCCCACAGCCCCCTCACCAGCATCCCCCCTGGAGGAGAGTCGCCCCCAGGCGTGGACCATGTGGAGCAGCACAGCCAAGCACATGGCAGCCAGGCAGCAGGGACAAGACTCCGCCCTCACACTCCGTTGCACACAGATGATGCGTGGAGTGTGGAGGGCGTGGCCACCATGGCGCTGCTGGGCCGCCTGGGCGATCTGCAGTGGGCTGTGGAGGCGGTGAGTGGCCCTGCGGGCTGGCGGGGGGCGGCGCAGGGCAGTTTTGGGGCACTCGGTCTCTAAAAGGTTCGCCATCACTGCTCTAGTCCAGTGGTCTTCAAACCTGGCCCTTTTATGACTTGTGCACTTCAACTCCCAGAATTCCTCAGCCAGCATGCCTGGCTGAGGAATTCTGCAAGTTAAAGTCCACAAGTCATAAAAGGGCCAAGTCTGAAGACCCCTGCTCTAGTCTGCTATACTACCAGGCTTATAATGCTGGGCCTGATTCATAATATCTGCTTGGTTAATTGTAAGGCTATTATGGGGTGAAAACTTTGGATTGCTTTTAACTACTACGTACGCCTCTTTGACTGTTCACAGATGCACAATGCAAACTGGGTGCAAAAGATAAAAAAAAATCACTGGCCTTGCATTCTCTTTTAATGCTTTGGAAGGGTGGGGGTGGAGAAACATATAAACTTCCTGCCTCAGATGTTCCCTTTTGATTAAAAAAAGGAAGCAGTGGAGGGGGATGAATCTGTCATCTCACCTTCCATTCACATACAGTTTCTTTTCATGTGCTTCAATAACCAGATAGGGCTTAGAATTTCAAACACAACTTCACCAATCTTAAAAGTTTTACTCTCCTCTGGAATTTGGTGCACTGGTGTAGTTTCTGCTGTTAGTCTATCAAATGCTACATGCTAAGTGAATGAGCTGAAACTGTTATTTTTCACTGTTCAGAAATGGGGGGGGGGAAAAGACTAACCTGCAAGAAAAGTTCAAAAGTCTGAACCAATTAACCAATACTAAGTGGTTCAACAATGCTGTGTAACAAACAGAAATTTAAAGGAGAGTATTTGTAACTCAGGGCTGAAATGAGGAGTCCTTGGTGTTTTCTGAAATTGGCTGTTTTCTTGCAGATGTTTCATTACCCAAACTAGGTCACATCATTCAGTGCTTATAGGGAGTGGGGTTTGCACTCAGTTTATACTCTAATGGCTTGCTCTGTCAATGTTGGTGTGAGTGAACAGAAATTTATATAATTTTGAAATAATGTGTATGTGAATGTGTCTACATCAGTGGTGGGATTCAGCTGGTTCGCACCACTTTGGCAGAACCGGTAGCTTATTTTTTGTTGCCCAGGCCCAGAATGGACTTCCGGAAGCAGCATCCACACAGAGAACTGGTTGTTCACATATTTGAATCCCACCACTGGTCTATATGTAGCATACTAGTACTGCAAATTGATGCAATGCTATTACAACAGTAGACCTAATGAATAGGGATATATAAAACGGATGAAGCAACTATAAAGAAACAGAAGCCCAGCATCCACCCCAATTGAGAAACAGCTACTTACCAACATGACAATGTAGCAGAGAGGAAGCTGCTCTCTTGATATAGACTAACTTGAGACAGACCAACTGCATATTACATCCCAGACTCAAGAAGACATGGAACAATTGGATATGCAGTCAACATCTGAAACCTGAACATCACTGCCACCCCCACTATTACACAGCAGAGCAGTTGATAATGTGACATGAGGTCATGGATAAACTAGCTATAGTCAATCCTTGAGACCAGTTTCCAAGTCTCAATGGAAAAGTTCTATCATATACCAATGGAGTCCTCACAACATTACCATCTAGATCAGTGATGTCGAACCTTTTAGAGACCGAGTGCCCAAAAACCACCCCATCCCCCAGCCCGCTCGCCTGCTCCACCGCCTGCCCCTGCTCCACCCCCACTCCGCCCCCTGCTCCACCCCCGCCCACTTGCAGGGCCACCCACCACCTCCACGGCCAGCCGCAGATCACCCAGGTGACCCTGTAGCGCCAGGGCAGCCACGCCCTCCACCCATACCCAGCAGCAGCATCGCGTTGGGGCGCGAAGGTGGAGTCTTGTCCCTGCTGCCTGGCTGCCATGTTCTTGGCTGTGCTGCTCTGCGTGGGCCACGCTCAGGGGCAACTCTCCAGGGGGGGCTGCTAGTGAGGAGGGGGCTGTGGGGGAGGCGGGGCTGGGGCAATGGCGTGTGTGCCCACAGAAAGGGCTCTGAGTGCCGCCTCTGGCACGTGTGCCATAGGTTCGCCACCACTGATCTAGGTAGTATGTAGGAGTACATTGGTATGATGTTATTCACAGCTGAACTGCTAAGAGAATGCCTGAGGCAGCAGCCGACATGGGAAAAAGATCAAGCAGAGGAAGTATCATGGCAAGACAAGAGCTTGTGTGCAATGTACCATCAACAGAGAGCTGAGGTGGCTAACATTGAAAAATCCTACCAATGGCTAGAAAGGGCTGTTTTCATATGTTAAATATTATTTTCTAATCATAGGGATTAATGACAGTTTTAAAACATTTATGAACTCATAAGCTATCAACTAGTTAAAATTAATTTTATTGTAAGTAAATATGCTTTAAATATACACACATACATGTCTCTGAAATATCACACACACACACAGTACGTTATTTAAGTACATGACAATACATGATATAACTATAATCTTCAGAGGAGTAATCACATTATAACATGTTGTAAAATGGTAATGTCATAATAAATCTGTTGGCCTTTATAGTGCCACAGGACATCACTTTTTAAATTGCACTCAGCGTAGAATGTAATGAGCAAAAATGTTTACTGAACTCATCAAATTTGACCCAAAGATGCTTTTGCCTAACTGGACTTCCTTGTTTTTCTTTCAAAATGTTTTGCTTCTCATCCAAGAAGCTTCTTCAGCTCTGAAGCATCTTTGGGACAACTAGGAC